GTCCCTAAACTCTACATCCCAAACCCGGAATCCTATGCCCTAGACGCTAAATCCCCAATCCTAAACCCTAAACTGGCCTAAACTGGTCCTCAACTCTGTCACAGTTGAGTTTCTTGAGCCGCCGAGCGGCTCTAGTTCTACACCACCTGCCCAGACCCAGAATTGCACTAATTATCGTTTTGTTGTCGAAGGTTTCGAACCAATCCTGAACCGGCTATCCATTAACACGCGCTAGGATTCATGTCTATTAGGTAAAAGTCTATGTCCTTGAATTCACCATCTTCGCACGACTTTGCCCCGATAAAGCTGGCGTGCAAGATGCTGCCATGCGGGTCTCGCGCAGCGCTGAGCCAACTTCCTCCTTCATGGGCGATGGTCACGGAGTAGAGTATAGCATAGTACAGTATAGTATGAGTATGGCACAATATGGTTAATTAACAAGCATTTCCAATCTCGTATGATAGGGCTAAGCAGACAGACCCTGGAGCGTTATTCTAATGTGCAGTGGCTGCAGTGGTCGGTGAGGCAGACACATCGAAACGAACGAAGTGCGTGCATGAAGCTGCTAGGAATCTGCAGCTGTTCGTAGGGCTTCGGTGAGAACTCTAACAACCCTGAACCCCAAACCGGTAAATCCCTAAAACCCTAAACTGCACTTTGAAGCCAACGGCAGGGAAGCATTCGCCGTCGTCGTCGTCGTCGTGGTAGCAGTGTTGGTACTAGTGGTCATCACAATAGAAGGTATCACAATCCTGTTCGTCTCTTCCTTATGAATCTCATCTCTATCGACTGCTGCTAGTCCCCTAAACCCTAAACCCGAAACCCAATTAGAAGGGCTAGCACGCCACCCAAATCTGAGCAGGGCAAGGGCAGCCCAGGTCCTCGTTCCCATAAAAGGCCGCTGTGTCTACGAGCCTGGGACACGAGCCAGATTTTGTGGTTTAGGGTTTAGGGTTTAGGGGTTAGGGTTTAGGGTTTAGGGTTTAGGGGTTAGGGTTTAGGGTTTAGGGTTTAGGGTCTTCTTCAAAAGGGGTTTCTTATTTTCGAACAAGCCTTTCTTAAAGGGCCTTGGGACTTAAACCCTAAAACCTAGTATCTAGGTTTATAACCAAGGCAGCCAGGGCTATAACTACTTATCATTCCAATTGGTAAAGCACTTGTTACCGTACTTGCTACAAGTAGGTGCCTGATCCTCTGGGTAGGTGTGCAGTTGGGAGTTTAATATATGGGCCTTAATAATCAGAATAGGGTTTTGGGGTATAATATACTATAATTGTAATACGGAGCCCCAAAATAGTATAGGTAATTATTAAGGCCCCTATATTAGGGCGTTTAGGGTTTGGGGTTTAGGGCTCGTGGGTTGATATCGTGAGGTCTTGCAGGGTTTACATGGGTACGACTGGTCTCTTCAAAGTGCTTCATAAGCTTGAATGCATGAGGTCGCAAACCCCCAAAGAATCAACCCTACACTGGGCTTGTGGTTTGCATGGCATTGGGACCCTTTGGGATGCACTCCCCATTCGATCATTCATCTTGAAGCTAATCTTGCTGGAACAAACCGTTGCTCAACTGTTCGTACGTCATTCATCATTTTTGCCTGGGTTTCACAGACCGGAATAGCCGTTTTCCGGAAAAGGAATGGAAACATGACAGTATGCTCTACACCCTAAACCTAAACCCGAAGCCTGGACCCCGAAATGCCTAGCTACGACACATGGGAGCCCCGGTTTTAGACGCAGTCCGTGTGGGCTGGTTTACCAGCTAGGTTTTGATATGAACACGGGCTCAGTCAACCCTAAACCTAACCACAAGCCCTTTAGGGTTTAGGGTTTTAGGGTTTAGGGTTTAGGGTTTTAGGGTTTAGGGTCTTTATTTCGGGTTTAGGGTAGCCTACGGCCGAGCCTGCTGAGACTGGAGTAGCGAAGCCCGCAAACATGGGCCATCCAATTCCGAAGCCAGGGGGTCTCAGATACAGTAACCCTTATAGCAGCCCCACAAGTAGAACCTTAAGGGTTTGAGGTTTAGGGATTTTGGAACCTAGGGTTAAGGCTTGAGGCTTAGGGTGTAAGGATCTTCGGAATCGACCCCAGGAGTCTTAGGGTTTTTGGAACCTAGGGTTAGGGTTTGAGGCTTAGGAGATTACCGATCTTCGGAATCGACCACAGCAATCTTGCAACCACAGTGACAAGGAGTTTGGTTCGGTTTCGACGCCTTCGGCGTAGCTGGAAGAAGGTTAGCAATCTAACCCGAAAGCTCTGTGACCGCAAACCCTAAACCTTAAACCCGAGAACCCTGTGACTCCAAACCCCGAACCTTAAACCTCAACCCTAAAGTCTGAACCCGATTCTTCATCAGCAGTTGCAGTTGTCTCGGCTTCTCGACTCTGAGATATGGGGGTTTCCGAAAATAGGGCACCCTAATATAGTACCCGAAATAGTAGGATCCTTATTATAAGGACCCCCACAATAAGGTACCCATTATTTTCGGAAACTCAGATATTGCGGTGCGCAAAGAAGTAGGGCCCGGGCCGGTAACCCAGGCGCAAGGCCAAAGCAAGTAGCGATGCCTTGGGTTTAGGGTTTTGGGTTTCAGGCTTGTTCAGCTCATGGGCTTTCTTGGGCATTTATGGGGCTTATGGGCTTTCTCAAGCGTGTATGGGGCTTATGGGCTTTATGTAAGGGTGTTTCAAGGACCTTTGAACTTGCAGTATAGTTAGTTGAGGGCAAGCATCAAGACAAGATCCGGTTTCCTACTGTGATACTGGGGAGTTCCTCGGACCCCATCAACCAGTTTGGACCCAATGGACGTCGCAGAGGCCGAGCCCCTAAACTTTATAAACCTTCAACCCAGGGGGCAGGTGAACTTCGCCATGCAGCGCATGTCTTAAGAAGCAGGGTTATCCACACAGGATTGCCATTGGCCTTAGCAAGCACATGGTGATGATTTACTCAAGCCGACCCTCTAAACCCTGACCCTAAATGTCGCAAAACCTCATAAAATCCTTCAACCCTCCCATCCCCTAAACCCCTAAACCCCTAAACCCCTAAACCCCTAAATCCTAAACCCTAAACCCTAAACCCTAAACCCTAAACCCTAGACCCTAAAACCCTAAACGAGACGGCTGGCCTCCTTGATGCCGGAGGTGCCAAAGCCGACCACCGGGCCGGGAACACGCGCCCGCGACCTTCGAGGAAGATCCATCTTTACCGTTGAAGCCTTCTAGCCGTTTAATTTAGGGGCTATGATATTTGAAAGAGAGTTTCGGGGGTATATTATACTATAAGTATAGCAAGGAAGTATATTATACTATAATTATTGTCAGGACCCCCCCAAAACCCTATTCTGGTTTAGGTCTTTAGGGTTTGGGACAAAGGGTTGGCCTATTAGCCTCTATCATTTGATAAAACTTAGAATGGATGCCGGTGCGTACGGTGTTGAAGCAGCCTCGGGTGAGTTTGGATACATCCCGATGGTCTTTGAGTCTGTCCCCCGCTCACCCGCCCCTTCTCTTTCTCCCATCTTTCTCTCTCCACCCTCTCTCTGTCTCTCTCTCCTCTCCTCCCCCCCCTCTCTCCCTCTCTCTCTCTCTGTATCTCTATCTCTCTCTCTCTCTCTCTCTCACTCTCTGTGTAGATGCCACTATGCAGACAAAGCTACAGGCACAAATGTAATCGGAAGCATACAGGTACTTAGCTGAACAAGTAAGTAAGCATGTATGCATGTGCATATGACATACACAGACACACAGAATCGGATTCAACAAATTCGCAGTCACGGATTGAGCCGGAGTATGGCCCAAAGCTTCAGACTTACGTTCGGGGACAGCGATATAAGGTTTGGAAGCTACAACAATCCACCTCAGCCCTCTTATCAGGATAAATGTACACCTACCGACATAGATACACAAACATGTGTGTGTGTGTGTGCAGGAGTATTTTCACGTGGCCTGACACCTCTGGGTGTAGAGCCTAAAGCGTATGATCACTCTGAGCACAAAACGTGAGTGCATGTTCGCAGTATGAAAAAAGAAGTCAACCAATATATACACAAACAGATTAGTACACAAACGAACAGACAACTAACTTTCTATGTATACCTATATGGAGAAAATGCATATATATATATATATACACACACGCACACATCTTAACGGATTACAATGTGTGCACACCACACATACATGTACATAAATACATACACGCACACGTACAGACACGCGTACAGTACACAGGTGCCTGCCTACCTACCTACCTACCTACCTACCTACCTACCTACCTACCTACCTACCTAATTACCTACCTACCTACCTACCCTGCCTGCCTACCCTGCCTGCCTACCCTGCCTGCCTGCCTGCCTGCCTGCCTGCCTGCCTGCCTGCCTGCCTGCCTGCCTGCCTGCCTGCCTGCCTGCCTGCATGTATGCACACATACATACCTGTAGTCTACGAACATGCACATGAATACACGAATCACAAAATAGTTCATAGCGAAAAGAAGCCATGCGAAACGTTCATTGAAGGAAGACAGCGCAAACGACGGCGCGAAAGGCCAACCACGACATGCGATATTGGATGTCCGTGCGCAATATGTATATATACATATATATATATATACACACGTATGTATATATAGATAGATACATACAATATATACATATATATATATATATATGTAATATATGTTTGTACTTATTACTATTACATATGACGAGCGAACATGCTCGAAAAGCAGGCGAAGCCTGTATCGAGAACATGAACAAGGCCCAGAATGCCGAGCGAGCGAGGCGACAAATTGGCATAAACCGCAATATCCCAAACCGTGGCGTGCCGGTTTAGGGTTCAGGTTTAGGGTTGAAAACCTTAAGGCCGACACCGTAGCACCCTAATACCCTACGCCCTGAACCGCATCTCTTCTGACATCCCCTGAACCCTGAACCCTAAACCCCTAAACACTAAACCCGAAACCCCTAAACCCTAAATCCCTAAACCCTAAACCGCTGAACCCTAAACCCTAAACCCTAGACCCCCAAAGCCCTGAACCCTAAACCCCTAAATCCCTGCTGCAGCTGATGAGCAGAGCTGGGCCAGTCGTCAATCCCACAGCTGCGCCAAGCGAAGCCGTGCGGCGGCTGGAGGTGGAAGAGCTGAAGGCTGGGTTTAGGGTCTAGGGCTTAGGGTTAAGGGCCTTTTGGGTTTAGGGTGTAGGGTTTTAGGGTTTAGGGTTTAGGGTTTAGGATTTAAATTAGGGTTTAGGGTTTAGGGTCTACCTATAGTCTCCATTGTAGTTCCTTGCTTTTGGTTTCACCAAATCCTTACTAAGGATTTTATAAGGTATCCCCCAAAAGGGACTACAATAGAGACTACAGGTAGGGCTTAAGGTCTAGGGTCTTTTGGGTTTAGGGTTTAGGCCCTTTTCTGCTGCCTTTGGCTAGAGTATGGGTTTCGAGCCTATAGGGTTTAGAGTTTAGGCTTGAGCCCTAAACCCTAAACCCTAAACCCATAGGCCCCATAGTAGTTCCTTTTTGGGGTTACATTATAGGAGTCTATATATGAACCCCAAAAAGGAACTACTTTAGGGCCTATGGGTAAGCCCTAGACCCGAGACTAAACACCGTCGAGGATGTCCGATTTGGGATTTTTATGAGGGCCACGGGCTCGGGTGTTTCGGTCTGGCAGGGTGTTTTCTTATTGGGGCGAAGGAGACCACGGTCATGTAGCCTCAAGAGACTCTAGGTGTTAGGGTCTCGGGAGGGTTTAGGGGTTTGGGTTTAG